GAGGTCATAGTGAGCCGGAGTGAGAATACAGCAGCATATAGTCCAGAGTATTCACACAGACCTAGTGCGCATGACGACATTCTATCATGTAACTGGAATGAAACTGGAAGAAAACAAACATCCAGTGGTGAAGAAAAATGGTCATTTACAATGAAGACACCAACATAAATATCTAAATGGAGACACAACTCTGGACAAAGTCTGGGCCTGAGTCCGTGGACACAGCCCGGAGTTCATGTGTGAAAACAGCTAAAGAAACTTGGATCCAGCCCTCTAAAACCATCACATAAAGTATTGTATAAAGTCACCTGAACTTAGGCGATCATCATGCTTTCACTTCAGCATTAGGATCACGTGCTTCCTGGAAGGCTGGGCAAACTGTCTGACCTCTTGGATGTATAAAGTCCATTAGAAGGTCAGATATGTATAATGTAAATCAGCAGAGAACTATTACCCGTCTCTATGGCTGCCCTCCATTCTATGCAGTGTCACTCTCAACTTTGTTTTCAGCTACAGCGGGCAGCAGGTTTTCACCAAAAAGGCTCAGATAAACCCGCAGTACACTGCTGAACATAAGATAATGTCCAACAGCTTTAGAGCCACACAGTTTCCTCAGGAGCGGAGGCGGTCCAAAACACTTAATATTGGCCCTATAGTCATCAGAAAGCCAGAAACACAGCTCAACATTAATACTAATGTTGCATGTGTAAATAAGTAAGTAACACCTTTAGCTTTGCCAGGTGGCTGGTAAAGCTAAGCAGTTGCTTCATACAGCACCTTGTTTTAGCTTAAACACAACCCTTTATTTTATTAAAAATGCTGCTTCAGGGATGTGGAGTGAAAGGCAGGCTACTCAATCATAATACCGATTTTATTTATAGGGCACTATGTGTTAGAAAAAGTCAAAGAACTGCTGTTGCAATGAAACGTCCAGACTGGGAACACATTCAATATAAGTGTTAATAAAAAGTTAATTGTATCACTCAACTTTAGTGCACAGCTAATAATGCAGCATTTCTCCTGTCGCGTCACCGCAGCCTCAATAAAGGAAAAAAAAAGCAGGCGGCTAGCTGTTTTCTTTTTAAAGAACGAAGAATGGGAGAAGGTGATAGTTTACAGGAAGTGTAAGGGAGGAGAGAAGGAGAATGTCTGCTGGATGGTAAATAATTAAACACAATGGACTTTCACACCTGTAGCCCAGGCACACAATGTAAATGTAGGAGTGTGCCCTTTCTTTGGTCTTCTTTTGTTCCCCAGAGCTCTTAACCATTTAGGCTGGAGTATTTTTAACCTGCTGTATGCACGGCATTTAACCACAAGCTTAAAAAAAAACCTGTGGGTTCTCTAAATACCGATGAATGTACTTCACATCCGTGCACAGAGGCAGAGTAAAGTAATGTTGCAAAAGCATGACTTTCGCATGACTGGTGTTGGGACAGCAGTCACAGCCCAGGAATATTTGTAAAGTGCTTTTAAAAAGCATGATTAATTGCAACATTCTGAATAGGTGTTATTCATGGAGGAGCAGCTACTGTAGCTTGACTTTAATTTTCTTGTTGCACCAATTCATGACATGCATACACTGTGTCAATATGTACTTAGCTGTCCTATTGGTGTATAGTAATTTTTTTTTTTAATTCAGAGTGCTTAATGCTGACAGACTTATTACAAGCATGTGCAGAATTCATACATCAGCTGAAATACAACAGCCTAATCCTCATCATCATGTTGACTGCCAGGCTACAGAGCACTAAAGTCACTACGCAAAAAAAGAGGTGGAAACTTGTTCCACTTATTGTATTCCATAAGTCTCCCTCTCTCTGAATTCTATTATAAATATAGCTGATGCACATTGGATGGTAAGGGTATTTAAAATAATTTACAAAAAGAAACAGAGCAAAACAGAGGTGGTGCCACCATCAGAGATTTGGTGGCACCAGCGCCACCAGTATGAAATGTTAGTCTGGAGCCCTGATAATTATCACTTTTGATAACAAACACATGAACCTAATCATTAGCTTGACAGAATGATCATAATTACATATAAACGTGCTACAGTAATTTAGAAATAAGTCATCCAGTGGGTCTGCTGTGCGCATACACAGAGACTATGAACAGGGGAGTGTGCCATTATCTCTCCCTCTCTCTCTCTCTCTCTGGATGCTGTGCTGACAACACATGGGTCAGTCTCCTTTCACCATAATAACTGGTCATATTGAGCAGTCTTCCAAAACAAACCCCCCCGCCCCCTGCTGTGTCTTGTTGCTAGCTGCATTTCTCCTTGACCAAGAGCGGCAGTGCCTACCACTCGGAGGAAAACAATCTGCTTGTGCAAAATCAAGAGAGACCAGTCCAGTTAAAGTGCAGATGAAAACAGAGTCAGTCTAGGCCTGTGTTTTTAAAGCCTGAGTCGATTTTATGCAAATGCAGGAATGATGCAGTACAAGAAGCTGCGTTTGACCTACATACTGTAGCTCTTTCACAATTCCTTCCCCAATACAGAAGAGGTGGTCACGGGAAGCTGGAAGTGAGGGGACAGACTTTATTATCCACCACCACAGAGGAATAAAGGAGTGTGCTCTGGGTAAAGGAGAACAACAAAGCAGAGTGGTCACAGAGGAGTAAAGGAGAACAACAAAGCAGAGTGGTGAAAGACAAGAGCACAGGTGAGATTGTGCTGGATGTGTTCCAACACTCATATCAGTCTTGAGAGTTCAAAAATTAGAACACGCAGCAAGAGAGTGTGGAGAGAGTAAAATGCTTCTGGAACACATAGAGGAAGGGTTGATGATCTGCTGTGGTCAAGCTCTCAAGCCCCGCTGTGCACATGGAACATTCTTTTCCAGCCAAACTCCTCGTTAAAAAAACCGCCTGCGTTTGTTGGAAAAAGAGCGCACAATAAACCCAGTGCCGGACCAGAACGCTGAGCTGAGACGATTCTGCGAGGCTGCTTTCACACAGAAGTGGACCTGAATTAAAATTCCACACAAATTATACAGGCCAGGCCAAGCCTCGATGCCTTTTATAATTGCCCGCGCAGCCTTGCCCAGAGAGGAAGAAAAAAAAATTCTCAGCCTTGATAAAGACCAAGAAGAGCAGAACCAAAGGAGAAACTGTCTGGTTTGTGAGCAACAAGTACAAAAGACCTGATATGTTCATGTCTTGTGCCAGTCTACATGCATATGTGCACACAGTAAAAATGCATGTGCACCACAAGTGTGCTGCATGGACATGTCTGCAGCCTGAATATCCATCATTATAAAGTCGTGATGTGCAGGCAAGCACCGCTCAAACCCACAGAACTTTATTTTAAACTCTCCTGTAGTTAAAATCCCACACTTTCCATCAATACTAAATATATGATACTGGATTAAAGGGGAATGTGAAGAAAAAGTTCCACAAGACATCTATGAATCCCCATTTAAAGGAAGGATACAGCATTTACAGACCCTGGTACTCTGGGCTCAGCTATTTTAATCAGAACTGAACGTAGGTGGTAGGATTTTTGACACTGTTGGGCAAAAACTGACGTTTCAGTACAGGCCTCCAGGCCAGCGTCCGAGAGGCTGACACACTGAGCTAGACTGAAGAACTGCCAGGAGGCTCCAAAACATTCATCATTACAGGTGACGTGGTGCTGATTTAGATGCCCCACACCCTGAGCATCTATATCAGATTTATTCTAAATGTGTTACATTTGGTAAAAATTCAAGCCACAGGCTGCCGCCGTTGGCTCTCTCTTCATTACAGATACAAAAGAGACACAAACACCAGCATGATGAAGAAGTGCTTTGTGAGCAGGCTGATCCAAATCTGCACGCAGCTTACAGCACTCGCAAAATTAATTAGAAACATTCTCTGTTATTTAATTAATCCCTAATACAAATGAAACAGGAGCAATCTGCAGCAAGACCTGCACCAAGCAGGCGGCAGACACACACTCCGCTATCATTTTATTATGATTACAACCAGGTTGCATAAATATCTCAGCTTTGGACAAGAACAAAAATGTAAAAGAATCAACAAATATGCTCCTCAGAGTCAGGGGGACAGGTCAGAGCTGGCCTGATTGGGCCCCTGGCCAAATGCTGAGAACTGAATACAGCCTTGATGAGATTGCTCAGTCATTAGGCTTAGAGGGCCACCTAACCCAGTAACGTGCTCTGCGACAAATAACATGCTTTTGTGGGACGCCAATCCACAGGAAAAAAAATCACTGTGTTGATCTAAGTAGAGGTTTAAAAGCTACATGCGCTTTTAATCCAGTTAGAGCAGGTCAAGTGATGGGACACGCAGATTTGGAGCAGGAGACACTTATACCACAGGACATGTAAATAACTGTGAAGATTAACCATAAGGTGGAAACACTGCTTGAAGCCTTACAAAAACACAGGGTGCACCAGCTTGGTTCAGGAACAGTACAGTGACAGACGCACAGAGCGAAACAAAAACCAAACACAGAGCATTTCCTGTGTGGTGCTGACTACTAAATTTAGATCAGACGAAACTTTAATAAGTGCATTAGATTTACAGGGTATGACAATATTACTACTGTCCGAGTGCTGCGGTGTTGACATGTTTATATTTGATGTAGGATGATGATCAAGGAATTAGCACTGTGACTAGTGATTTGCATTATTGTTGAATCTCTCGAGTGTGTCTTTGATTAACTTGTTTATCTGTTAGTCTTGCAAATGTTGGTGAAAATAAAGCCCATCTCAAAGCTCCAGAGACTAAGGTGGGTTCTTCACATTGTTTTATCTGAAAAACCCAAAGATAGTCAGTTAACAATGATGTAAAACGGAGACAAGGAGCAAATTCTCCTATCTCAGAAGCTGGAACAACAAATAGAACATATGTTTGCTTGTTAAATAATTAAGAAATTAATTGATAATCGCTTTATCTTTTCAGCACCAGTCTTTGTCTCCCCTGCACGCTCTGAGTGTATGTGTAAAGCCGGTCAATAAAGCCACAAAGTCTGGTTGAGTGTTTGCTCTCACCTTCTTGCCAGTGGAGCCCGTCTTGGAGAGGCAGGACTTTGCGAGGGACAGGTACCCACCGATGACCTCAATCTCCTCCACAGCGGGGTAGCGCTTCTTCAGCAGGGAGCCCAGCTGTGCATAGGGGGCCTGTGGGGACGTGGACCCTGGCGGGGCTTCAGTTGAGGCTTCCTGCTGGGGCTCAGGTGAGCCTGGCTGGACCTCGGGCTCCACCCTACGTTTAGGCACCACAGTGAAGGTGTTCCCCTTTCTCCTCTGCACCATGGGACTGGGAACAGGGATACACTGTGGAGGCTCCACATCTATGTCATCTATGTTTGTTATTGGCAGTTGATCCACAAGAGGCTGTTCTGGAGCAGGGGAGGGGGGAGAGAAAGGAGGTGAAGATGGGATCGCTGGGGAGGAGGGGGGTGAAGACATGGTAGGTGGAGAGAAAGGAGCTGGGGCGAGAGCTGGAGATGGAGACAAAGTTTCTGAAGCTGGGGGAGGTGCAGGACTTGTGGCAACAGAAGGAGATGGTTCAGGCATGGGTGGCCTTGTTACCCTCTCCACCTCCTTCTCTTCCTGCTGCTTCTCTTCCTTCCTTTTTGATGCCAGAGCCGGCGTAGGGGCTTGTGAGGTTGGCACTCCAGACATGGGCACCTCTGCCACTCTGTGGGCAGGGGAAGACTTGATGGGCCCAGGCGGTGCAGGGCTGCTTGTTGCAGAAGAGGCAGAAAGACGGCACTTGGGAATGACTGTGAAGGAGTTTCGAGACTGCAGACGTAGGTTTGCGAGGGCCCGTGCCTGGGTATCCCCATCAGGAATTTGAGCAAGGTCTGGCTTTGGAGAGGGACGGATCTCAAAGTCAGGTGAGGAACGCACCACCTTGGATGAGATGGGGCTTGAGGGGGACTCGGCGCGGGCACGACGGGTCTCCGGAGAGCATGGCACCTTGGGTTTGGGTGGCACCTCGGCACCCTCCCAGTCTCTCTCTCTGGTGGATTTGGTTAGCCCCCTCTCTGATTCATCTCTGGGGGTTATAGCTACACCACGGCTACCACTCTCCTCAAACCACTGACGGAAGGAAGACACAGACTGAGGGGTTGCAGGGCGCTGGGGGCTGCCTGGCTCAGAGACAGCAGGCTGTGGCTTTGGTTTGGAAGAACAGGGACTCTGGAAGACAGGTGAGGATGGCTGGCTACTGCCTGGGCTGATGACCGATGGACCTGGCCTGGGCTTTGGCACCAGATCTGGCTGTGGCTTGGGCCAGAGTCTTGGCCTGCTACTGGCAATACAATCCAGGTCCAACAGGTTCTCTGTGCTGTGGGACTTCTTCTGCAGCTTCCCGTAGTTACTGTCAAACTTCTGCAGCATCCGGCTGACCCTGCCCTGGCCTTCACCTGCATGATATGATGTGACTTCCTGATCAGGGCGACCCAGGGTGCTCAAGTTCTCCTCACTCTTGCTTAACGTGGTGTCATAAATTACGACTTCCTTGGCTCTTATCTCAGTAACAGCACTCCCTCTCCGGTCCAGAAGGTCGTTCAGAGAGCTATAACTACCGATACCGTTTTGTTGCCATTTGGACCCGGGTTTTACCCCTCCTGCTTCTGGAAAGTAATCCGGATCCGATTCAATTATGATTATATTCTCTGCGCGGATAGTCCGTATACCGGGTACACTGCCGTACAGCTCCAAGATGTGCTGCGCCGGGCGAGCAGCGTTTTCTCGGTCTTGCCGCCTCCTCCGCTCCTTTTCCAGCTTGATGAACGGGTTCTCCTCCAGCGGGCCCAGGCTTTCCTGTAGCACCAGGCTTTCCCGTGTGTGACCCTCCCTCGGTGTCGTCCGTGGCTCTTTGTTGATCGCGAAGTGTTGGCTGGTGGTGGTGATGGTGTAGTTCCGCCCGGACACGCCGCTCGGTCCGCCGTCTCTCTTGGGTCCGCCGCCGCCGCTGCTGCTGCTGCCATTCACACTTCCTGACAGCTCACCGTTAACCCGCTGCGGTCCCGCACCGCCGGGAATTGTCTCCGCAGCACCAGCTCCCCCAGTCCCGCCACCCTTTGCCTTCCTCCTCTCCAGAATCTCTCCTTTCCAGGCCGGCATCCTCGGGCTTTCTTGTCCGGCCTCTTGGCGGAGGACGCGTACCTCTCCTCCACCAGACATTGCGGAGGATTGTTTGGAGGGGATGAAGAGGTAGAGGGGTAGGCTCCGAGACGGTCTGGCCGCGGTCCGGTGCGGCTATTAAACCTTTATCCAGCTCTGACTTGTACCTACAGCACCGATCACCGCACACTCTCTCACATCCTTACCGTTGCTTTCTTCTCTCTCCTCCCCGTGCTTTCTCACTGCCTTGGCTCCCTCTCTCCCCACAGCTCCTGAACGCAGCCCCGCCCCTCCGCAGCAGCGCGGGCAGCTTCGACGTTCCCATCAGTCGTTATGGTTTATAGACACGCCCCATCTCTTTTTGTAGACCGCCTCACATCGACGCAGACCACTCCCATTTCTATTGTTGACTGGGCAAGGAAGTCCTGTCAATCAAAAATGTTGCGTTCAGGTTCAACCAATCCCTCCCATTTTTTTTTTTACCATGTTTAATGCTATTAGTGAATGGATCCGTTATTAAGTGATTAAATATCGCTTTGTTGTCACTATTATCTGTACTCATACTAATTAATCTAATGTTTCATTATAGGAGATAGACTACTAGTTATTCATTTAAATCATAACTTGCAAATTCATCTACCACATTAGAAGTGTACTAAATAGCCTTTTATTATGGTTGCAAAATCTTAAGAACTTAGCCTACTTAGCTCTGTTGTGGTATTGTATCCTACTGAATAGTGATTTCCTTGTGCTTCATTTATTTTTTTTCTACTTATGGTTTTCCAATAATGTTTCAAATTCTTTGATGTTTGTAGCATTTGTAGGTTATAGTTTTCAGCTCAAACTGCATACTGTATAACCAGTATTACAGTAGACTATAGGGACACATTAAGCCTAAATTGTTTTGTTAGGGCGTAATAAATAGGGAATATGCAGTGCCAGGTGGTGGCTGAAGTCTGTTCATTCAACATTTGCCAATGATGCCACCTGTCGATAATCCGGCTCTAGTAAACGTGTGCTGAGTAGCCTGTTGCACATAAATCAGCACTAAGAGGGCTATTCTAGGCTACTACAAACTATATGTGCACCTCATCAAAGAGCACAAATGAGTAAAATAATCAAATGCATATAGTCTGTTTCCTCTTTACAGCTGTCTTGTAAGATGTAAATTAAAGCACAGCTGGTGTTCGGGGCCACAGCTATTTGAAGACACCATATCCTCAGTGTTACAGTGGTATTTCTGGGAATTACATTCAAATGAGTTTACATTCTATTTTAACATATATACTTTAAGGCGGATTGTGATTGTTATCATTTACTACATTTTAGCACTGGATTTTATGTTCCCCACTAAAGTTAGGTGAATAATTAAAGAGTGAAATGTTTTGATTTTCTTTCAGTACTCAAGGTTTTGACCAAAATCATTTGGGCTCATTTAGAACAATCTGGACAGTGCTATTTAGCCAGGTGACAAATATACAAACAAAACTACCAAAGAACCAACGTAGGGTGTACAGCCACGCATCTTGTTTTGGTCTGTACACTTTCACATCATCACTTCTTTAAAACAAGCAGGACACTAACAAAGTAAAAACTAAGGTACATCTGTAAACTAATGAGTGACGCACAGGACTGTTTACATTGTGGTTTAGCACGCTCATATAAAAAAGCCAGTATCGCCTCCTTGTGGCCAGGGAGACCAAGACACACCAAAAGGCCATAAAAGGTGTTAACGTAATATTCATTGGTTAAATGTTGATTTATTTACATGTATATACAGATGACAATGAGGGTGTCACAATAGGAACATAAGATTTCTTTGCAAAAAAATAAAATAAAATAAAAAATACATATTACACAATTTCACATGAATACTTATCTTAGAATGTAGTACATACAAGGTAAAATAAAAGACAAATACATTACTTATTTTACAGATAAACAGCAATCTTCAGGGCATATGTGTGCACACAAATTACAGCTTGTAGAAATCACATTCACTTCTTCTAAATGTGAGGGTGAGCGCTGGCAAGTTTCAGAACCAGCTTGTTGCTGTCCACACCAGTCTCACTGAAGGAACTAACAAACTAGGCAATGTGTGAGCCACACTCCCAGCAACAGGCAACAAAGTGAGACACAAGATAAAACTAATCAGTTGGCTGGCAGGCACTGCCTTCCTCTGGTTAAAAACAAAAGAGCAAGGCTGCAACAAAAATGGGTGGACAAAGATGCCTAGAGGGTTACTGCCCTAAGGTTTCACCAATTTACTGAACTTACAGGTGTTTTGTGCACATGTGCATTAAAACATAATTCTGGTAACATCTTCCTCTTGGCTCACTGTCTACTATTAATTGCACAAAGTAGAGGTATTACCATTGTTCAGACACACATTTACTGCGCTGGCATCTTCTCTGCCTCCTATGAGTTCCTAAAAGTATCACAACAACCAGAGTCATGAAAAGGGGATTCCAAAAACCAGAGACAAATGTTTGAATTTATTTCCATTTACCGTTCCCAATCAATTAAAGGTTCACAGTAGCTATAGTTGCCATTAAATGTTTACACTACATGGTCAAATGTATGCAGTGATTCTATTTTTCAAATGTAGCATTGTTCTCACTTCCAAACTATAGGAATTAATATGCTGCCATACAAGGGTGCACTCTTCTGGTTCCTGAGTTCCCACAAGATACACAGAACCCAGTGGCAGGGATTTGCTCCTATTCAGTGCAAGTACATTAGTGAGATCAGCCATCGATGCTGGGCGGTAAGGCCTGGCTCAACATCCGGACTCTGCAGGCCAGTCATGTTCTTCCTCACCAAAACTATTTTTATGGACCTCACCTTGTTCACTGGTGCACTGTTTTGTTAACACAAACAAAGGAAAAAAAAAACACAATGTAGCCATCAAGTTGGAAACATACTGTTTAAAATATCTTTGTATGTCATAGCAATATTATTTCCCTTAACTGAAACCAAGAAAAAAAATATTCCCAATATTCCCACCACATACTTTTGGCCATAGAGTCCATTTCAGCATTTAGCAACACACAAATTGCCTTCTCCTTTCTTTTTTAAAATCCTGCATTATAACTCGAGCAAGCAGCAAAGTTTAACGCTATTAGAAATACAAACAACAAAACAATAGATTCTGGTGTGACCTGAAATGTGCATATGAAAGATTCACAAGTGTTTATTAGTTTTTTTTCTGTAAAAAGTAGGCAATGAGCCAGAAGAAAACTTACACTATTGTTACAATTTAAATCTCTATCAGCAGAAGAAGATTGCACTCACAACTACTAACTCATCAGTTGACACGACACGCTCGTATCATCAGCAGCTGCAGCAGGATGAACAGCGGTGAGACGATGAGGCCAAACCACAGGTCTCTGGCTTGCTCTTGCTCTGCGAGCTTCTGACATAGCAGCACCTCGCACACCAGCTTCAGGCTGAGCACCGTCAGCACCCAGAGGAGCCGCAGCACAGCCAGACGCTTCTCATTCTCCTGGTAAAGCCGAATGGACACAATGGCTGTGAAGTAGGTGCTAAGGCCGTCGGCGGCGAACAGGGGGACAAATACCAGCCACCAGCTCAGCGTGGGTGTGAACATGTCAGCTCGCAGTGCAACCAGCATACTGAAAACCAGCAATGCCAACAGGTGGAGGAACAATTCAAAGGTGGCAAAGCCCAGCCACTGGACCAGTTCCTTCAGGGAGAACAGCATGGCTGAGGACTGTGGGCCGAGTGACACACTGGCAGCCCTGGTTGGGGTTCAAGGTGCTCCAGAGCTAGGGTGGCAGAGGGTGGAGGTGAGGAGTCACTGATTACACCTGAGCATGAATGGCGAGCTACCACAAAGATGTCCCACTTTACTACTGGCTACATCTTCAAATACACCCTGAGGAGGATGATCGGGAGGGGGGGGTGTGAGTGTGACAACAGATAGTGGTCCCAGTCACAGCCTCTCTGGAACCCTGCCTTGCATTTGATAAAATAAACATAACATTAGACAAAGTGAAAGAATCTGGCAGAATTGATGAAGAAAAGACGTAAGCATACTTACACACTGTGTAGCACAGATTAGACTGGGCCCAAATCACACCTCACCAAATTAGGTAACAGCTAATGAAGATAGCCAGAGATTCTAACCGTCTTCTGTTATTATTTCTTCCCATTGTCACTTCATTATTTAGCCTGATTAACATAGGCTACATTGCGGCTGATACTCGTATGCTGAGTTTAATATGATACACGACGTAATTTTAGCTTTAGCGTTACATGTCAAGTCGAGCAACGATCACATCGATACACACTATAGCCGATGTTGGTACTACAACGTCGGCTAACCAGAGACAGTTAAAGGTGATACAGCGCCTATACTTTCCAACACAGCGCAAGTATACACATAAATAAAATATAGTATACTGCCACAATACCTTACTTTACCTTCAAATCCGTCGGATGTTTTCTACTCCATCTAACTGGATGCGAAATCGCCAATAACCCTATCGAGTCATTAGCATCGTAACTTCACTGTAGAGGAATATCGCGAGAAGACTACATTGGCCGTACGGTGGCCGAAAAGTCAATGGGACCTTTTCCAAATGTATTACCCGTTTGTGTTCACCACTTTTAGTTGTTAAAAAAATCAAACGGCGTGTGTTTTATGCTTTAAATTAATCCTGTTTGACAATATAGTTTGGGTGGTTCCTTAATATCTTATCTTATCATATCATATCATATCATATCAATATTAGGACTCCAGTCGGTAGGTGGCGGACGTGCACCGTCAAGTTTGCCGGACGCCGTTTGACTAGACGCTAGAGATAAAACCAACCTCCAGAAGACTGGGGTGTGCAGAAGTTCTGGGCTGTGGTTTGTGCAGGTTGGTGCACTATTTATTCAGCATTTGTGCTATTTTATATATATATTTGGATTATAAAGTCACATATTTAATGCCTTAGTTGATGTGGTTTGTGGTTTTAAAGTTCTACGTTCATTACGTAGGTAGTTAATACGCACCGTTTGCATGTGTTTTCACATCTTAAGGTGATTAGTAACATGTTGTAATAGTATATTAACTTAGTCACCTCTGGGCAAATAGCACATGAACACACTTGCACTGAAAAATGCCAAAAGACAACATGTATTCCCGTTAAAAGAAATTACAGCGGACATCAGATTTCAAGCTATGTCCAATTGTAGCGACGTTTTAAAGTTGCAGCTTGGAGTTTACTGTGGCTACTTTGGTTCATATCCGTCAGCAATCTTATTTCAGCGAGGTTAAGATCAAATAGTTAGCAACGCAAATTATTGGGCTATTGTTATTTTTAGTGACACGTTATTAATGGGTGTTTGGTTGATGCATGTTTGTTCAGTTTTAACAGTGACTGAGCTGAGTTGAAGCACAACAAAGTGAGCATGCTTTTTTTTCTCTGCTCATTTGCAAAAAACAAGTGAACTGGCCTGTTACTTTCTGTGTTGAGTCACTCGTGGTCTCTCTGTTTGTCAGGGTAAAGATGCAGACGCCAGCAGAGTCGATCATCCACAGCGGCTACTTCCACCCAACACTCAGATACTGGCAGACCTGTGTCGCTGACTTAAGACCTGACAATCTCATCTACCCCATCTTCATCACGTAAATGAAATTTATGTACAAGTGGATCTCTGTTACAATCGCATACATTAGTAAATAAAACTGTGTATAAAATGGTAAATAAAAAGTGTATCAGAGTGTGAGACATATCACAGATGACAGGGGTCAACAAGACACTTGGGAGTCAAATCATTTGACTGTGTTTTTCAGACAAAAAGTCAACTATACAGTGTGTTTGACATTTATACTTGAATGGACTTCCACCTTCTCACCTCTGGTTCTTTGTCACTCTCTCCTACAGAGACAGTGCAGATGCAGTGGAGCCCATTGGCAGCCTGCCGGGACAGGCCAGGTGACACTGACATCCACAGCAACAAAGGGCCTGATTTTCTGATCACTTTACAGAACCTCTTTCTACATGCAAGTTTAATTTTTAATGGCACTGTCTTGATGGCAGGACTAAACAATAATCACATGCCACACACGGTGTCACCCTGCAGATATGACCCCACTGGTAAACAATCACATGCCACACACAGTGTCACCCTGCAGATATGACCCCACTGTGGGTGTGGCCTTCAGATAAACGTAGTCAGTAAGGGTGGAACCAGATCCCAACACTGGACCTGGATTAAGATAAGAAAATTATCCTTTAGACCTTTATATTCCTCATACAATAAACCCAAAACGCAAACCACCTTTACATTTTATGTGTTTCTGAATTACAAGACAAAGGCCTTAAAATTCCTATTTGAAATGCAAAGCTTTGTGTCAATATTTGTGATATTTGGTAACTTTCTCTCTGACTAAAATGAGAAAACACTGCAGGTTCCCACCTTTCCTTAAAGGCCCTGTTGTTACACTCATGTTAAATGTATTCCTGTTATTAGATATGGGGTGAACAAGCTGGAGGGAATGCTGCGGCCACTTGTGGAGAACGGCTTGAAATGTGTGCTGATTTTTGGTGTGCCCGCAAAAATAGCAAAGGTAAGTAAAGGTAAAAGAGGGGGAAAATGAAATCTAAGCAATTTCTTATGTCAGTTTCTCTGTAAACTGGGCGAATTTGCCATTTTCTAATTCACCCAGTATTTGTAAATTGAATATATATATATAAAGAGGGAATATTGTCTGGGGATGTTCTCTCAGTTTTCTTCTAGATAAGGTCCAGGCAGACTTGATTGGCCTGCACAGAACCCTGACCATAACCCCATTCAACACCTGTGGGATTCATCGCCCAACATCAGTGTTGGACTTTACTAATGCTCTACAGCGAGGCTTCACAATCTGAAGCCCACAGAGTGGGAGCTGGTACAGCAGCAGGTGGATGGCTCTGTTTTTAGAATGAGGTGTTAAACGTGGTCCTTGTTTTCTTATTAGGATGAAAGGGGTTCAGGTGCCGACACAGATGACACCCCGGCCGTGCTGGCAGTGAAGACAATCAGATCTTTGTTTCCGGAGTTGCTGGTGGCTTGTGATGTCTGCTTGTGTCCCTACCCGTCACATGGACACTGTGGTCAGTGTCTTAGTCGATTTACCTCTAGTTTCACATAAGCAGCAGAGCAGTGGATAGGGACAAATGTTTATAGGCCTATTTAGCTCATATTTGGGCTTTATTACCAATGCGTTTCTTTCTTCCAGGTATCCTGAACGATGATGGTACTCTGAACAATGATGCCAGCTGCCAGCGCTTGGCAGAGGTGGCGCTGGCCTACGCCCGGGCTGGTGAGCAGTGTTTCTGAGATTGTTTCTAATTAGAGAGACTGAGAAACAGGAAGCTTTACTCTGCTCTCTCCTCAGCTTTCCTCTCCTCTTCATTCACTTGACATGTTACATTTGCACATTTTTTTTAAATCTACTTATTCATTTATTAAGCCTCATTATAATTAAATGCTTTTGATTTCTCATACTGGAGAATACAGAAGCTTATATGCATTTTATCTCAGAACCTTTGTACAAATACAAGTGAAAAACATTTTCTCTCATTCTTAATAAAATTCACTGGATTTGTAATTGTTTTTATTTTGATTTGTGAGAGGAGACTGAATTTAAAAGTTGTTCTTAATGACACCTCACAAAGCCAGAACTACCATTTGAAACAAAAATGACCAAAAACATAACCGATGAAATAACTGAATAAATAAAAACCTAATGTCTTAATTGGATTTAGTGAGGGGCTGGGGGCTGTTGTGGGACTTGCACTCGTTACCTCAGGATATGTGAAATCCTGGCTCTGCACCCTCCACCATAAGGCCACTTCCACAAGCAGCCAGATGTTGAAGTTAAAGCTGAAATGGACTAATAGGAGTTTGTGAAGCAGACCTTTCTTTATAATGTCTGACAGTACTCTATGTTGGTGCATCTCTTACTATGTTGCCTTGGTCGTGCTGTTTTGTAGGCTGTCACATCATTGCTCCCTCTGATATGATGGATGGAAGAGTCAGAGCCATAAAACAAACACTGATATCCAGTGGTTTAGGAAACAAGGTAAACAAACTGAACATGATGCATATTGTCAACAAATCCCATGGAAACCAAAACCACTTTTTAGTTTGTCTCTTGATACTTTCAGTGTGTTGGCTCTCAGCTCCACGCTCCTACCAAAGATGTAAATCTCTGACAATAGCTGTCAATATATAATTTCAGTTTTAAAAAAGACTCAGTCATTTCTAGTTTGGCTTTGTACTTCTGGCAAGTATGATTCAAATGGGAGGAACTAGTGCTTTTTTTGGGGGGGGTTGGTTGGTATTTTTAAGGGATCTGTTGACAATAACAAAAATCTACAACATTGTCATTCTTATTAGTATTTATTAAAAAGTCAACAAAATGGTTCTTCTTTTCTTGTGTTCCGCTTTTCCAGGTGTCAGTGCTGAGCTACAGTGCAAAGTTTGCTTCTTGTTATTATGGTCCTTTCAGGTAAGTAAGCGCTCCAGGATCAGGCGTTGAAAGGTCAGTGAAATGGTCCTTTGAAGTGACAGGAGACTGAAGCTCCTGCTGTGTTTCTGTGTAGAGATGCTGCACAGTCCAAACCTGCATTTGGGGACAGACGCTGCTATCAGCTGCCTCCTGGAGCGAGAGGGCTCGCCATTCGAGCAGTGGTAAGTTGACCTGTGTGCGCATGTTTGGGTCACAGGTACTGTGCTGAAACAGTTGTAGGAGACCTCACTGTTGTTCTGTGCTGCAGGAGCGAGATGTGAGAGAAGGAGCTGATATGCTAATGGTGAAACCAGGTCTGCCATATTTGGACATTGTGAGAGAAGTCAAGGACAAGGTCTGTAGCTACATCAGCCTATATGAATCCACGTCAGTGACTGCACTGTGGAAAAACTCAAACACAGAAGCTACAAGTCCAAAAGCATGTTTTTCAATATGTCAGTTTTGCTAATTAAACATTTAAAATATGACTGTGCTTGTTGGAGGAAGTGTCCACATTAAAAAAGTTATCTCTCTCTTCAGTTTCCCACTCACCCCCTGGCCGTGTACAATGTCTCAGGGGAGTTTGCCATGATCTGGCACGGAGCGCAGGCTGGAGCGTTTCACCTGCGGACGGCTGTACTGGAGGCCATGACCGCCTTCCGCAGGGCAGGTGAGAGGGGAGGAGGCAACAACATTGAGTTCACTTGAACTAAGACTGTGTCCACACCAAGTCTTAGTTCTTTACCCACCTAAATACTGAGCAGGTAAATTTGGTATTCTAGTGTGCACAGGGGAAATCAAGCTTTTGGAAGAGCCTGTCACTCAGCACAGGTGTTATTTTTAACATGTCTTTATGTTTATTTTATCATGCTGACTTTGTGATCATAAAATAGATGTTACAGCGAAAGAGTTGCTGCTTGTTTGTTTAACAGGTAGTGTGAATGACCCACAGGTAAAATATTCATCTCACAGCAAAAATAAAACTGTCCCTGAGAACAACTAAATCCTGAGCAGGAGACATAGTAGGCCCTTTAACTTTGGATGCCCTATTATTTGATGCTTATTGTGTTTTCATCGCTCTCTGTTGCAGGCGCTGACATTATCATCACTTACTACACACCTCAGCTGCTCACCTGGCTGAAGGAGTAAAGATCTGAGGCCAAAGGATGACGGGACTGACAGACTCCTTTTAAAATGACAAATATGCTGTTGACTGAGTCATGCTAACCACTAGAATGTAAAGGGTTATCTTGTCTGTGTTTTCTAGCGGGGAATGTGTCAGTGGGAGCTGCATAAAGTGAAGTCAGTCATTTCTTTAATCTGATTATGGAAAGTAGATTTGTATAAATCGGGGCCACACAAATGTTGGATATGCATGTAACTGCTGCCTCTGCTGAAACACTATCATACTCTGTCATGTGCTCACTGACCAAAGGAAATAAAATCATTGATTCAGAGCTACAAGTGCATTTGTGTCTTGTTTATTTTTCCATAATACATCCATGGTATTTCCACTACCTCTCCACCATAGGCGTCGTGCCCGTGCCCCCTCACATTTTTCAGCTTGGATGGCTATAGTAATTGTAAGTTCTATTTCTGCAGCAAGTGTACTAATGAGCATTCCTAATAAAATTTAGCAGCCAAAGCTACTTTTCTGAACAATGATTCTGATGTAAGCCTGACTGGTCCACACAGATACCACTCTTTTCAGGTTGTTTTGTTCCTTTCAGCTGGAGAGTGCAGAAGTGGAGCGGGCACACAACTGCAGTTTGAGGTATGAACAACCACTCAGCCCACACCATGACAACAGTATGACTAATACATTGGCAAATTACTATGAGCTTCACAATTTCCATATTTAAAGTGCCTTTAGTGGTTATCCTACAAGTGATAAACATTAGAGTTGGTGTACCTTGTTGTCCTTTGTTGTAATTAGCAACTAGCAATTAATGCTTAATGCTACAGGAAGTTAACTACAGCACTGAAATATGTCCTACAAAACAGGACATGGACATAAGACATTTTTTTATTAAGTGTCAGGATATATATATACTATATTTTATGTATGTAACAGATGCTGAGGTAGCGTTACATGATTGTTCCTGACTGTCATGTTTCATTTTAACAGGAGCGCAGGTGGATCTCAGGTATGATACTACTGTGGTTTAGTGATAATATCCAACAGTGAAAAGGTATGAAGATTTTTGTTTGATACCTACTGCATCTTCACTATATGTACTTTTATCAGCATCAGGAAGCAGTGCAGACAAGCAGCCGGTGACAGAGGACTCAGCAGCTTCTGTCGGTGGACGTAGGCGTGTTAGAGGAAATGATCAGATGTGGTTCTGTTGTTGTCTTCACCGTACTTATTCTACAGTGAAAATGCAAATATATATAGTTTTAATTTTTCAGATTCATTCAGTTTCATTTTGTAAATCCCAAAGCCAGACTGGCAAAAGCTGCATTTATTGCTTTTTGGAATCTAGTGGGTGTAAAATTTAAGCTTTTATGTGTAAGCCCATTATCTAATCACAAATTATGTTCAAAAAGAGCTGCTGTATAGATTTTCACTAATGTAGTGACAATAGACTGATGTAGGACCCTTTAAGCATTGTCTTTTACATCCAGATCAGTAATAGATTGACATATATAAATGAGAGAACAAGTAAATAGATTCCTCTATTAATCTATATTGCAAAAAAAAAAATGGAATTAACAATTTAAACTGTTTATGATTTAAATTGTTGTAAAACCGTCTTTGAATGCATGAGGCCCCTGCGTCTGTCATAATTATTACGGCCGCTAGAGGTCGCCTACTTCAACGTAACAGGTGGTGGTAACACACCAAGAAACACGGCAATGTGCCAGCAAAGGTAGACAAGCAGAAGGCTGGTATCCAAGTAAACATGCGTGTAAACCACACAGCTTTCAGACTTTTCAGAAAGGAAATCTGTTTAACACACAATACATTTTTGTGAGAAAGACTGAATGTAAACACAAACTGTATTAACAAGGAAACTACAGAACACATTTAAGTGTAATTGTAGTACTGCATTTCAAAAACTAGCACATTGTCAGTAAGCATAAATCAGAACATAATATGGGTAAATTAAGAGCTGGTTTATTAAAACAATATAAAACACGGTGGCTAAAATCCATTTTTTTCCCCAGAGTAATCAGTGTCTTTGATATTTGTGTGGGGGATTTATTTGAGGGGATAATTTCTTTCTGTATACCGAGAGAGTTCTTCACTCTTCAGACATACGCCTGTGTTGATGACAGCAAAATGACTCATTGCTAAATTTAACAAGTCATAAGGTGGATGTTCTTGCAGTGTCCGAAGCTGATGACTGCTGACTTGAGTTGTCCTTGAAAAGCTGTAAAATGATGAATCATAAATATCTAATTCAAGATATTGCTGTGTGGGTGGATGCAATTACAGCTGGACAGAAAAAAAAAACACGCAGCTGCAAGCAACAATCGGTAGCATCAAGCAAGAATTGCCATTTCACTGGCTACATGTCACTGAACACTGCAGGGTATGGCCTTCACCTTACACACATCATTTCAGTTCTTTTTGCAAAATGCAGCAG